AAGTTAAATTACAGAGAAATAAAAGAAGAAGCTTTTTCAAGCATAGGCACAGATTGGAATACATTTGCATTAATTAATATTACAAGCTTATGTTTATAGTGGGAAAGTTAATTTGAAGGAAAAATATTATTCCTCCTGATGCCGTTAGCACTGTCAGCGTTCTTCATTCTGTGTCATTCCTGGGGAAGGTTAAGAAGGCAGCAATAGACAACCTCCATGTGTGGCAATACGGAAGTTTAATTTTAAAAAATTAATTTACCAAAGATATTGTATACGTGCTTGGAAGCTATTATGGCAGTGATGCCTGAGAGAAGAGAGGGCAATCCCTAATCTGGTAGAAGGGCCTGCAGGGAGTATTCGAAGTGCAGGGCTGGGTTCAGCCAGATGACTCACTTCTAAGCAAGTACTAGAAGCATTCCCCTTCACAGTTTGCTCTGAAATACATTCTCAATTATTTGTGTGTACCTTTGACAAAGTTCTCTCCATACACAGGAGCTGTTGTACTCGGGTTTTTGGAACCCGAAAACAAGCTCTTTATTGATGGTGAGGTCAGGACGCTTCTGGGAACGGTGGCTTGTTGGTTACCAGCTGCTCCCCAGCCAGAAAGAGGTTGTCTCTTTTAATGAGTGGTGCTTTGTTTCTTTTTTTTTTTTTTTTTTTTTTAAACAAGTAAAAGGCGACTGTTACAGTATTTGCTGCAGTATTTCTTTGTGATGGGATTGGTGGACTTCAGAAAAATGTTGACTGGTATCAGAATTACTGGCAGAAATGTTTCAAGTAAAAGTGTGTGTGTGCTGGGTGCCTTCTAAATGGCATCCTCACACTACTGCTGGAAGCGTCGGTAGCCCTGTGAGCGGTGCTCTCCCTTTCCCATCCAAATGGGATAAGAAGTTGGCTCTTAAGGTGTTTTGGGCTTTACAACAGTTTCTGTTGGTTTTAATTTTTTGCTTTGGCAGATTTTGTTTTAGATTGGGGAGCCTAAGTGAAAGTTGGAAATAAAAACCTCACATATAAATAGCAGTGAAAGAAGCAACTACGCTAACCTCTGCTTTCAGTTACAGTAACATAAACTTGAGGAAGCTTTGCTGATATCTTCTGTGTACAAGTGTGGGTAGAATTTGGCTCAGCAGTCATCTCCTAAATCATTGGGTTTTCTAGAGTCTGCAGCTAATTCTGCTCAGCACATGCTATTGGTTTTTTATGCTACACATTGGTTTGGGAATAATACTGAGATACCAGTGTTCCCGGTCTGAAATTTGAAGCCAGTGTTGGACAGCTTGTTCTTCGTTCAGTTTGCATTTGTCACTAAAGGAATACCCAAATACTGGTAATGATCCCAAAAGCTCAAATGAGATAGTTAAATAGTAGTTACGCGTGTTTAAAGTCAGTTCATACTATGACATGATGAAAAAATACTGAAGCTGTAAGGCAGGTGTCTTGTCATTGTAAATAAACTTTAAAAGCAGAGCCCACTGATTTGTTAACTGTTTCAGACCAACAAAGTCTTCAGAAAATTTTGTTCGTGCTCTGTGATGCATCTGGAGCTACTGATAGGAAGTGTAATATCAAATAAACTTTCATATTGAATTTCCTAATCTTAAGGAGTCGTGGTTGTTCCAGACAGGGCTGTAAGTCCATGGAAGAAACAGGAAACGAATTTTGCATATGTGTCTATTTTACATTCTTATTTAAAAAGTTCCTTGCTTAAAGGTCAGTAATTACTTTTATTGACCCACACTGATGTGCCTTTTGGTGAGTTAGTTAAAATGCATCTCCAAATAATACCAAGAGAAATATGGCTTGTGTGCATATGTATATATAAAATATGTATTATTTTACTTAAAAGTAGATAAAAGAGGAAATGTGAACCTGTGCAAATGCCTTAAGAGGTCCTATCTGGTTTTGGCTTTGCTAGCATCTCTCATCTAGGCATTTGAAGGCAAGTCAGCAGCTGGTGTAAAAGGCTAAAGATTAAATATATCCAAAGAAAGAGGTGGATTGAAAAAATGTATTGGTTAATAAGAGTCTTGTTAAGCTTTGGAAGGTTTTAAAACTGGATTGATAGGTGACATATCCTTTTATCAATCTTTTTTAAATAGAACTAATCTGACAACATCAAAAGTTATTAGTCATACAAAGCAGACAGAGGGCAGATAGAAATAATACTTTTTGTGGGGGTTATGGGGCCATTTGGGCTTTTTGTCATTGTGTTTATTTTGTGTTTTTCTTTTTATGTAGATTTACAAGTAAAAGATAGTAAAATTGTCCTTGCTGGTAAATGACTGGCCATCACATGCAGCGTTTTACGCACTCATATTGTTTTGAACTGCATGTTACCACTCCATTGAGATGTTTAGTTACCCTTATTAAGAAATTTGTATTTATTCTTAAATTTATAAATGTTGTTCAACAACCTGACAATAGTAACTCACACTGTAGGACTGACTTGGCTGTTGGAATGTTGACAATGTTATTTTAAAATGTTTATAAGGATTAAAAATTGGTTCAAGATGAGCCAATTTAAGATTTGTTAAGAAACAATTGTTCTTAAAAAAAGTTAAAACATTCTTTCCTGTTGAAGGTCAGGGGAGTTCTTTGAGGTTACCTGGTGGCTGCACAGCTACCCGCTAAAGATAAAAAGCCCCCAGAGGGGATGGTCCATCAAGGAACAAGAAAGCAACGATCCTTTTTTTCTACATGTTTTTCTACTGCTGATCGGCCCAAAATGTTGTTATTTGGAGATTTTCTAGTAGCTCTCCAGCCTTCATAATGCCACCATTCACAGTCTTCTAATGGGAGAAGGAGCAAGTGTGCCAACGCAGCCAGAGCTGCTAAAAAACCCGTGTTGCTTAGCATGGCCCAGGGTGAGGGCATCCTAGGAGTGGAGGAACAGCAAAATCGTGTTCCAGGGTAGAGGAGGGCCCTCATGATGGAGGCATGTTGTTAACCCTTTGATTGTAAGAAGAGCTAAAGTAGAGCAATCCAACTTAGGCATTAGATAGCTTTTGACAAACAGTGGTGGAAACGATTACTGTATATTTAGCAATGGGAAAGTTGTAAATGGCTGCACCCTAGTTGTGTGGTCAAAGAAAATACAGCTGAGATTATAGCAAAAAGCCCAGCCCCTCAAAACCTGTATTTTCTTAGTACATGCTAGGCACTATCTTGAACTGATGTGAAAACCACCACATTTAATACATATTTTAAAAGATAAGCCAATAAAATATAATTTCCATTCACAAAAATATGAAAGTCAAAATTACAATTTCCCTGCCAGCGATTATTCAGCTTCTTATGCTTGTGTAGTAATTCATACAGCTTTGTATAACGTAACAGTTTTCTTTATGATGTTTTTTAATATGTATGTATGTGTATGTTTTGAATTCATAATTTAGATGAGAATTGTAATGTGTATCTTTTTAAGCTCCTCACAATGGAGTCACAACTCTTATTCCACAGTACAGTGCTCTGTGGCAATATCTTATTTTCTTAGTGAAACTTACTTTACCAAAACCAGTAGTGATGGTATTTCTTTTGACAGAACAAATTTAAATTTGATGGTGTCGTGATTATCACAAGCTCCCTCTTATTTAAAGGGTTTATCAGATATGAGCTGCGTGTTATTTTTGGTGGGTGATTTTTCACATACTTCTATCACAGCTGAAACTCTCTCTGGTATTTTGTTTTACCAGCTTTTTATTATTTCCTCTTACCATTATGGTTATGTAAAAATGGAAGCTGTTGTCTTTTAAATTTGCTTTCTCTCCTTACCTGGTTCTCTTGTGTCTGTCCACACTGGGAACTGGAATAAGTGAATCATGTTTGATTTCTTTTAAATGCACTTCAAGCAAAGTGAATTTGGCAGTCTATTCAGCTAGTGTAGACTGGGATAAATTGTATTTCAGTCTCACCTAAAAATTTACCCAATGTTTAAGCGTTGTGCGCATTTTATATTTTGTGGTTTTAGCATAGTTAGGTCTCATTACAGTCTTTTAAGGAGTGCTTTTAGCAATATAGAAGACAAGTTTAAACATAGTTCCCAAACTTGGTTTTGAAGCCAAAGTAAATGAGGTCTTGTAGTGCCACATTCCAGTGATTCTGACATCAGAGGAATATCTGAAGTGGCTGCATTTTTATATGCCTGCAAGAAGCAAGACTGGGGTCTGACGTGGAGAAGCATTAAGCTAACCATTCAAGACACAATTTTTTTCATTAAAACTCCCCCTCCCCCCTCCCCCCCCCGGGGAAAAAAAAAGAAAAAGCAAGATACGTACATTTTGACAAAAATCAAATGTTATTTTAAAAAAGGCTCAGTAAAACTAGTTACTTAATTTTGTTTAGTGTTTTATTGCTGTTTCAGGTTTCTTGATACTCTGCTGCAGTCTGTGGAGATGTCTCTGTCTTTTTGTGAATTAAGGAGTGAGAATTATGCTAAAAATTATCTGAGCGATGACACAAAACAAATCAAAACCCCAAAGTATTTTGAATATTTGCACAAATGGACTTGTATCTAGTGTATGTTGTAGATATTTGAATACAAAACATTCAGTATTCATCACATTTGCAGCATTATTAGCAAACTTTTTTCACATTTTCATTCTGGGAAAAATAATAAAAAAAAAACTTGTAAAGGTTACAAACCTGATTCATACCAGGAAACTGGATTAAGGCATAGATAGCAGAGCAGGACTGCATCAACTTGGCCTTGTATGTCTGGGCTGAACTTTGCCAGCTAGAAAGAAGATTCACTTTCAACTGTTGGTGCCTCTCTTTACGGTGGCAAGGGAAGACTGGGAAAAGCTGCCGATGAATGTGCACTCAGCTGTGATTGAGCTGATCAGCTCTTTTGCCTCCCCTAGATTTTAAGAGGAAAGAGAGTTTAGTGCAATGTCTTACATTCCAGAGTACAATTTTTTTTCCTCGTAATAACAATTACATGTTTTATTGTGCTGATTCTTTCAAATTTACAATTACAGAGTCTTCATCTTCTTTTCTTTCAGATTCTTCCCATTCTTTTCATCGAGATGAGACTATAGTTATTGCCCTTGCATCTGTGTCTGTACTGGCTGTTTTGATTGCTGCTCTGTTCTTTGGATACAGGATGCTTGCAGGTAGGGTTTGATGATCCCTTTTTTTCTTCTTTTTTTTTTTTTTTTCTTTTTTTAATCTTTGGACTATTTTGCAAAGTTATACTTATGTCTTCTGTTCTCCCCAGTCCCTATTACATGTTTATACATAATGCTTCCCTTTCTCCTCTCTGACACTTTATGGTGATATCCCTTTCATAACAGTCCAGAGAGATTTATGATTTCTCCAAGCTGGTGTTTTGGGACCCATTTTTCTTCAACAAATCCTCTGCTCAACACAGCTTAAGTGAGGTTGTGAACATGCTTTACAGTTATTGCCAGTGACATTCAATTATCAAAATAGTTGTGTAGCAGATAGCCTTAAGTTTGTAGCTATCGGCACCTTCACTGCTGATTTTACTGCAGTGACTCCAAGAAGATTTTACAGGATTCCTTTTTATTTGTTATGTCCTTGTCTACAATATGTCCTTTGCCTGTCGGAAAAGGACCTGGGGGTGCTGGTTGACAGCCAGCTGAACATGAGCCGGCAGTGTGCCCAGGCCGCCAAGAAAGCCAATGGCATCCTGGCCTGTATCAGAAATAGTGTGGCCAGCAGGAGCAGGGAAGTGATAGTGCCCCTGTACTCGGCACTGGTGAGGCCCCACCTCGAATACTGTGTTCAGTTTTGGGCCCCTCACTACAAGAAGGACGTTGAGGTGCTGGAGCATGTCCAGAGAAGGGCAAGGAGGCTGGTGAGGGGTCTGGAGAACAAGTCTTATGAGGAGCAGCTGAGGGAACTGGGGTTGTTTAGCCTGAAGAAGAGGAGGCTCATCGCTCTCTACAACTACCTGAAAGGAGGTTGTAGCGAGGTGGGTGTCGGTCTCTTCTCCCAAGTAACAAGCGATAGGACGAGAGGAAATGGCCTCAAGTTGCGCCAGGGGAGGTTTACATTGGACATGAGGAAAAATGTCTTTACTGAAAGAGTGGTTAAACATTGGAACAGGCTGCCCAGGGAAGTGGTTGAGTCACCATCCCTGGAGGTATTTAAAAGACGTGTAGATGAGGCGCTTAGGGACATGGTTTAGTGGGCATGGTGTTGTTGGGTTGATGGTTGGACTCGATGATCTTGGAGGTCTCTTCCAACCTTAATGATTCTATGATTCTATGAATATGTATTTCTGCCAAGTCCCGGGTAAGTTGTATGGTTTTGACTTGTAGCATGGCAAAAAAAGGAAACTGTCTGATTCCTTCCCCACCCCCTTCCACAGGAGACCGTAAACAGGGTTTGCACAGTATGAACATGATGGAGGCAGCAGCATCAGAGCCCTCATTGGATCTGGATAATCTAAAGTTGTTGGAGGTAAATGTTCAACTCAGTTTCTTAATCTCCATTTTTATTCAATGTAGCACTTGTGGTCATATCACCTCCCAGGTATAGTTACAGAAATAAATGTATTAGTGCTCCTGTAATGTTTTCTTCTAAATTACAGTTTAAAGAAGAAATGAAAAGGGGAAAAGAAAAAAAAAAAATGTTACCGCAGTTACATTTTGCCTGGTTTTGTTGGTAATACTGTTGGCATTAGCTAGAAAATGTTCTACCTTGAGAAGAAAATACTAAACACTGGGAGGTAATGGGGGAAATTGGAATATGCTGTATTTCAGCATTGTATCAAAAGATCCATCTTTTTTCTTGACACTGATCGCTTTAAGTACAGTATCCTACTGTAGTAATTTGAAATGCTTTAGTAACACTATTGGAATATAGAATTTACTGCAGATAGGGCAATATATTTCAGTAGTGGTGCATTTATGTATAGTTATTCTTCACAGTGGGGTACTCTCCATCTCCATGGCAACTAGAGGCCAACCAGAACTTTCTACTCAGCTTGGTATTAGATGTATCTATCATCAGAAAAACTGCAAAATGTTATGCTTTCAATTGGTACACTTGATGGAACTTACAGAATTTTTAAAAGCTTTTAGCCAGAAATAAGTCAGTAGAATGACTGAGAGAGATTCAGAGAGTGGTACTTTTTTTTGCCCATTAGAAATGACACCTAGAGATGTAGACTGCAGACATGCAGTGTGATCTGGGCTAATGCTGGCAGCAGACTAATCAGCAAAGAAGCTTGGGTGCCTTCTGCCACCAAAAAACTACTTGAGGCAGAGTTCACAAGAGTATAAGGATGTGTATTGTAGAAGTGTGCAAAGCCCCAGATGAAATTACTCATACTGATATGCAGTCTTGGAAAAAGCAGCGACTTTGTTGGTGGAGAGATCTGCTATGGGTCTTCTGTCCTCTTTCTTAAATCCTGAGGAGCTGACTCCTTGCCCCCAGTCATAGGGTGTTGCAGAACAAATTGTCTTAACTTGTGCTTGCCTTTTCACATCTCTGTGGGTAGAATACATTCTGGGTTTGTACCTTGAAGTGGCTCGCTGCCGCTTTGCAATCCACTGACATGGAAGGACTGAGAAACGGAAAGTCTGTCTGTTAAAGGATACTTTATTGTTGAAACCTTTCCTGTTAGACAATTTTATCATCTTTAGAAGCATTAGCTTTTGTAATCTCTTCTGCTTTCTGTTCCTCCTCCATTTGTAAGTATTTAAAAAGTAAAAAGATACTGGTCCATGAAATCCTTACAGTTTCATGTCTAGGTCTTCCTGAAAATTATTTGAATTAAATAGATACTTAAATTCTTATGTAGTTAGAATTTTTTGAGCTTTAGAAACTAGGACTCTTCCTGAAGGTGTTCCTACGTTTTGGTTTAGAGCAGAGATCGCATTTTTCTTCGGTTGACATGGAGCTGGGAAAGGCTGTTCTGTGAAGACTGTCTAACATAGTGGGGGCTAGAATAAAGATTCCCAGGTAGTAAGGAATGAATTATTCCTTTCTGTTAAAACCTGTTTACCTCTTTTGGTATCTATTTTGCACTACAAATGCATATATTGTTATTACTAACCTAAAAGGTACAGCTTATAAAGCTATCCTAAACCTAAATTGTTTAGCTTAATGTCTGTGATCTCTGGAGTTAATTAAAATTGATCACATAAAAGCTGTAAATGTTTAGTAGGCAAAAGTTTAATAAGAGAATTAGCAGCACAAAACACATGGATTTTATTGATTCTGTATATAAAACTGTTGAATAGATTATTTATGATGTATTAACTGGGTATTCCGACTACAGATCAGTTTAGTCAGATCTAAGTTGGCCTGTGCTGAGGTTTCCAGCTCCAAAATAGCTTTTATGACAGCATTCTAATTTTAGTTTTCAATACAAAATATTCACTGTTTTTTGTAGTGTAAGTCAGTATAAAAGTTGGCATACAATCTTTGTAGAGTGAAAACTTGGATTTTGTCTTCATTTATTATTTAGTGAACTAATTATTTACATTTTTTTCCAGTTGATTGGCCGGGGACGATATGGAGCAGTGTATAAAGGCTCCCTAGATGAACGTCCAGTTGCTGTGAAAGTATTTTCTTTTGCTAATCGTCAGAACTTTGTCAATGAGAGGAACATTTACAGGATTCCGCTGATGGAACATGACAACATCGCCCGCTTCATTGTGGGGGATGAGAGATTCACTGCAGACGGCCGTATGGAATATTTATTGGTGATGGAATATTACCCCAATGTAAGTACTTCGAAGAAATCAATCGGATTGGTTTCGATTCCTAAGAATAGCCACATAAAAAGGATGTACTTTAGTATTTGCCAGTGTTTTTCATTGCTGCTTCTCGCACAGTAATGTAAAAATAATCCGTATAAATTACAATTTTAATGAACCTTAGTATGGTTTACTGTAATACCCTTCAAGATTTCCCAGTTAGTCCTACCAAATGTAGTCTTACAAATTCTTAGCTGTAGTATTTGCTATTGGTTATGGTGCAGGGTTTTTTTAGTCAACTGTGCAATATTCAAGGACAGAAGTTGAAGAGTTGTTTTTACTTAAAAATAATTTAATGAATTTAAAACTTCTTAGTATTAAGACATTATATCTCTGATATGGTAGTTATGACCTAACTCAGTAGCTGTAAATGGTGGGGTTTTTTTACAATGAAACATAATAGATCCAATATTGTTGTCAAACTAGTTTGTGGTACTATAAATCATGTTGGCTCTTTATCCTGTTATCTTCTTTAAAGCTTTCTGTGGCACACCATGTTTATTTTGCTGTACCATGATGTATTGATGATTTAGGACGAGTCTAAGAAGGCAGCCTTACTTTCCAGAACCATATCTTCAAATCTCCTTAGCTAACTGAATGCTTACATCCCTCAAATTCATTGATTAGAGTTCCTAATGCTCTGTGTATGTGTGTACACTCACATAGAAACAAAAATGTTTTAAAAATACACCGCATAAATGTGAACTGCTTTCATGAAAAATCATAAAGTGTAATGTATATGGGGGTTATATATATGAAAATGCAAAAAATTGTTTCACAATTTATCTTGGGGTTCTTTTGCTTGCGTATGGGAAAGAACTTTAATTGTTCAGCTAAATAATTTTTTTAATGAGCTTTTTGGTCTCAAGTAAGTGAACTCATATTGTATTTCCTCCAGTGTGTAAAGGTGATGGCTGAAGCCTGATTTGTTATGGGGACAGCAGGACAAGAGCTGTTTATTCAAGTAGCAGAAGGAAACAGAACAGTAATAAATAGCAGTAATGATGGCCTGTCTTAGGGTATTTTAGGGTCTATGTATATGCTGTGTTTAAAGATAAATGCATACATGTATATAAATATCTAAATATATATGCGAATTTAAGGCAACATAGCACTTGACAAATATATAAAGAGTATCTTAACTGAAACTTTTAAGTGAGAACACACTTGATCATGTCAGCTTATAAGAGATGGGCATTTAAGAAGACATTGGCAGAGACTAGAAATGACCATAGAGAAAGCTCAGTCGTGCCCATACCAGATGGACGGTGGCAAAGCACATCGGCTTTGTCCTGCTCTGACAGAGTAGGCTTATTTTCAACTAATTGAGTTAAGTGAAATCAAGTGAGTATTCTGCTCCTGGGAGGGCATAGCATAAATGTCTTAACAGGTGATCTGGTTTTGCTGTTTTCTTGAATGAAAGGATTTTCAGCTGAAATGTAATTTGATTGAAAATTGTGTCTTGTTGCTTATATAAACAGGATCTGTTAATGATCTGATTAAATGCACAGATGAGGCTTTATGACATCATATTATCAGATTCTTTCTCAATGTGGTATTAAGAACAGCAAGATTAGTCTAAAATCAATCCATTGGTGGTTTGGAAGTCATTGGAAAAAGTGCACAGCAGGTGTAATTAATGCACAGTGTGATCCTTAATTCAGTGAACAGATGTTCTGCTGTATGTGGAGCTAACAGCAGAGAAGGAACCTTGCTGTGGCAGCCCTACTAAAAGGGAGTAGCACTGTTCAAACTGGAGCCATAAATCTTATTTCAATAAGGAGTAACCCATACAAGATGTGCAGGTGAAATACTCCCCATCCAAAACATCATTCTCCCTTGAAATACTTTCCTTCTTGGAAATAGGAACACACAAACCGGAATATTTTCGCACAGAAAATTGTTCTTGGTGAGAGCAGGACAGATAGGTTTGACCCAAATTGTGTTATTATCCAAACATGCCTTCAAACCAAAGAAAGTAGGTGAGCAAGTAATAAAAGGAAAGATACGTGTATTTATCAATCAACATGCTGTTCTGATGGTACTCTGAGGTGTGTGTGGCAGGTGAATAAGCAGTAAGTTGCAAGGGATGACATAGTAGGAAATACGTAATAGCCACAGAGTTGTCCCCCCAGTAGTCATTCATGTCTTTTTAGAACAATAGAAAAAATGATGTAAAACACATAGTAGCATTTTATTATAGTTAAAACAAAGCCATCAATTTTATCAAAAGTTATAATCAGAACGAATGTCCCCAGTTTAACATGTAACTCATGACTCTGACAAGAATAATCTTAATTACAAATGTGTCTCTCTCTAAATCGTGACTAAAACTTTTTCTGGTTGTCATTTATATTGAACTTCACTAAAAGCATAAAATCACAGCCCTCAGCTAGCTTAAAAAATATCTGGTGGCTAGCAAGCTCTGCAGCAGAAAAATCTTGAAGTTGGTTTGAGATCTTTATACAGTGAGTGTTTCCCAGTCACACCGTGGCAACAGTCCTGTAGCCTCTGTTAGAATGGGCTGGAATCTCAACGCACTAAGCCAAGAAAATCCATTACTGCACCCAAGTTGCTGGCAGTTGGAGGCTAATAAGAGTGTTTGTATCTCTTAAAAAGCTTTAAACAATAAGAAAAAAATGTAAAATTCTTTAACTCATTTCTAGGTGGATTCTCAGGGTTTTTTTTCCCTTACCAAAATCTATTTGAAGTTCATATAACAGCATTTTAAACAGTGACAAAAAATGCTTGTGTAAACCTGTATGAGTGACATTTGGTCTCTGTTTTCATCGAGGAAGCTATTTATTTATGGGTTCCTTGTTCTGCACAGGCTAAGTCTGAAAAGCTGTAAGACTTCTGTAATTCTATTAAGGAGTGTCAAGAACTTGGTTTTAGTTTTAGCATTGGATTAAAAAAATGTCTAATGCTTCGGTCGTTTTAAATGCTGGTATCTGTGTGCCTCCATCTGAACTGTGCATGCGTTACATACCTGAATGTTGACTCCAAATGGACTCAAATGGCACATACCAGATTTTTTTGAAGCAAATGTTACATAACTAATTTTGCAATAAAGTGTTTCTAGTTGCAGCTATGATAAGATGTTATACATTGGTGCATCTTTAAGATTACAGATTTAAATAGGCAAAGACACGGTAGTTTGTAGTCATAAATAAACATTATATTGTAATATGTATGCAGAGACAGCTGGATGACTTGTTCTTCATGCATGGGGATTTAGTTTGTTTAAACTGAGTATATTGTCATTGGGGACTGTGTGCATAAAAACTGCTCAAATGTGTCATAGTTTGCAGGATCTGGCCCTTGTTTCAGATAGCAGTCTCAGTTTCTAGAATATCTCAGTATCATAATTGACACCCTTCCTTCTGGTTTTCTTGGAGACTTCACCACCATTTACTAAAAAATCCCCCATTTTTCACATTTAACTTCTCTTTCAAGAAAAGGGGAACATGACATTCTTTTTTCCTGTTTCTTCAATGCATGTGGACTCGTTCCTATTCTGAATTGCCTTTGGGGTTTTTTGTTTTGATATATAAATAGATTATAGCAGGGGAGATGCCGGTGGGAGATGTTGAGTATTCTTCTGTAAGTGCTAATGGTTTAAAGACCACTATTTGGTAACCCAGGCTATTATGTCTGCAGTTACCTTTCTTCTTCTGTTGTTCAACAAGACTTTTTCAGAAGAATAAATCAAGTGCGTGCTTTGCTTTTGTTGTATAATTAATATGATTGTTCCTAAAGGCAATCCCTGTTATTTTGTGATAAATTTTCTGTTCCACTTCTTTAGATAAACCAAATGGCAGCACTAGAAATTAATGAAACTTTGGTCCAATCTTGTGTTTTAGAATACCTGGGTAAACACAGAAGCACTTGCAGGATTACACCTTTCAGGAGCAATGGATAAAACTGACTCTCCTAAAGATTTTGAGCTACTCAACTGGACAATGGTTTTAATCCAGTATTTATCTATTTTTTTTTTTAGGGTTCTTTGTGCAAATATTTGAGTCTTCACACAAGTGACTGGGTGAGCTCCTGTCGTTTGGCACACTCTATAACTAGGGGCTTGGCGTACCTGCACACGGAGCTACCTCGAGGAGGTAAGGCCAGGAGGGGATGCCAAGATGTTCAAGATACTCTTATTTCTATCAGGTAGTAGATTCCTGCCTTTCTTTTTTCTCTGTGACAGTACGGTGAGTAGAAAATGATGAATGCAAATAGAGATTACTCGGAACTTCTGATATGTCCTTTCCTTCTGAATAATCCCATGTTGTGGGCTGCGTCTGTGACGCTTGTATGAAAACATGGAGCAAGAGCCAGCAGAGCCCCAGAAAAAGGCAGGAGGAGGAGGCAGAGTTGTGCAGTGCTGCTGTATCATGGCAACAGATTACTGAAGACCTGAAGCACTGGATGTCTGTCTAGCAGAGAGCAAACAGATGGGGTGTTCTGTTTATTTTTCCAGTTCAGACACAAATCACCAAAGCAATTTTTAGTTTGTGTGTGAACTGTATACACAAAGAGAAATAATTAAATCTTCTAACTCCACTGTAGTTTTATTTATCATATCTCTTGATTTTCGTGTAAGGGTGTGGGCCTAGTCTCCGCTGTGTACAAACAATACTGCTGGACTTTTAGTGTTTTATTAGAGCACCGGATGTGAAAACATATTGATTCATATCTTTATATCTCTGCTTGCGTGCTTCAGCCAGCATTTCAGCAGCTGAAGTATCACGATTATAAAGCAGATATTCTGAGATCGGTGATGTATCAGGCTGCAGAATATGGCGTGGCGCTGAAGTGTTAGCTTTTTGGCAGTAAATAAGAGGATGGTATCATTAATTCTACGTTAAGGTGCTAATTTTTGGATTAAAATTCCAAACTATATATCTCAAATGTTAAGCATCAGCTCTAGCAAAGAATGACAACTGAAGATGCTGTTAAAAGCGCAAGGCTGAAAATACCTAAATCACTATTCCTATGTGCTATTGAAACTGCAGCTGTCATCTTAACATCATTTCAAAATGTGCAGACAGGTGTGTCCATTAGCAGCCAGAAAATGTGTAGACCTTCCATCGTAAAGAAGAGACAGCCATAGGCTGGTCTATGAATGCTAGGAAGGAACTCATGGAGTAGAATAAATTCCACAGTAAAACCGGTTCTATAGTGCTGGCTGCTTTACTAACAAAATAAATTGCATATGAACTAGGAACAACTGAGATTATTCTTTAGAAAAGATCAGATCCCTTGCAAGATGAACATGTTCAGACTCTGGAATAATACTGTCTACATATCTTCTGAATAGGTGCCAATCCCAATCATAACATAAATAGTTGGTGCCGTATTTGACAGAGGAGTGTGGATATGAGAGAGAGCATTTGGAATGGCTGTCAGGGCTGTGCTTAAGTACATGATGTCTCCCCTGCCAAAATCATGTTGAAATATCCCTTGGAAAGAAGCTTATTGGCAAACACTAAAACTTTATATAGCGGTAGCCTAATATATTGTATAGATACAGTGAAACTCTGAATGCCAGTCGGTTTTCTATAAATAGCATACTGTGGAGCTCATTATAAAGAAGCAAAAATGTTAGCTTTCTAAAAGATAAGTTGATTTTCTGTTTGTAATAGCTGAGCAGACATAACGAGGTGCTCTCATTTTGCCAAACAGTAGAACTGCTCAAATAATAACAAGCACTTCCATATGTCCAAATAGACCATTACAAACCTGCAATATCCCATCGTGACTTGAACAGCCGCAATGTACTGGTAAAGAATGATGGAACATGTGTAATTAGCGATTTTGGACTCTCCATGAAGTTAACTGGAAACAGGCTGGTACGCCCAGGTGAGGAAGATAATGCAGCCATTAGTGAGGTAAGTAGAAATGAAGATAAGCCAGTGTATAAAGGAAGACAAATTAGTATGGAAGTAACACTGAGAAATAATTGTTTCTGTTGTTACAAGGTGAATGTTAAGGTGGTACAATTCCTTTAAGGGGGAATTGCTGCAATATGGGTGAGAAGTGGCTGAAACCTTGATAGGAAGAAACTGGTTTTATTCTCAAAACACTCAAAAACAAACCTAGCATTTTGAAAGGTCATAGACTGGCAGCCCTGGAGACCGAAGTTTTCTGTGTGAGATATGAGAAGATGCAAGGTAGGTTTGGTTGCCGTGTTGTTTGCGATGATGTGGTACAGGTCCCTTCAGTCTTGTACTGCAAGTATTAACTGAAGACCAAACATTCTTTGGTGGTTTTGGTGTTAATTTTTCCGAAATGGTGACATACCGCATTCTAGAACCATTTCTCTTGTGTGTCATCTGCAATTTTCTGGACTTTAAATGGATACATCTGGTAGAGTAAGACATGTAGAAAGACACGGACCAACTGAGAAAGAATGGGGACAAAATAACAGGGGATGCTTGAAAGAGTACCTTGTAGGAAAAGATGAAAGAATTAGGGTTGTTTAGGGAAGTAAAGGCAAAGACAGGTCTTCAAATATGTAAACAGCTGCTACAAAGAGAAAGGAATAAACTGTTTGCGTTTAGTGTGGATAGGACAAGGGGTAATGGGATTACATTGTAGGAGGGAAAATTTAGGTTAGTTATGAAGAAACCTTTCTAATCTGTAGAAGGCAGCCAAGGTCTGGAATAGACTGCTGAGGAAGGCTATATAGAATTTGCATCATTTTATGAATTTAAGGAACAGGTTGGGAAAATATCTGCTAGAAGTGGGTTAGAATGGATTCTGGGCAGAAAGAAGAAACTGATTTCTTAAGCTTTCTTTTTTATGATGCTGTGATTCAGAGACTATTTTTTTGTTGTTGTTTTCTTTTTGTTTAAGCATAAATACACTGACACCTGAATATAGACTACTGAAATACAGTGAGACTATTTCAAACAGAGAGCGAAAGTCCCTAATGGTTCAGTATATTTGTCGTCTTTGTGCTTTTACAGAAAACCTTTACATTTCATTCAAAGAATGTGTTTCGCAGTGCTAATCACCTTCCCTTAGAAAGCAAGTGCTACATTAATACCTAGTGCACAGGTCCTCTTTTTAGATCTCCCCTTAGTGAACAAAGAAACAGGGAAACCACTGTTTAATATGCGGGGATATGGAATAGTCCTGTGGCGAAATACTGTCCTGCAAGTACTGATGAGTGATTGCTCTAATCTAACATACTTCCTAGTGGAAATGAAGAGATACCTTCCAAGGCTGTTAATAACCATTGGCCATGGAAGATGTAGGGGAGACCCTTGCTGACAGTCCAGGAGTAAAGAGAACAAGTTCCTTGTTCAGCAGCATCCTCTTCCATTACAATACATACCTTGGTGTTTAACAGAGTAATTTCAGGAAAAAGAAACATTTCTGCTATATCGTATTGCATATGAGAACACTGAGTAAGGGACAAAATTAATTTGTTTCGGTATGTACAAAAAAGTGACAGAGTAGGGGAAGGGTTTTATTATGACTAGGCTCCGGATAAGAGTCTAGAAGCTGAGGACATTGATTAGAAGAGAACTGCGTTTTCCTTAACTGTAGAAAATATCGAACAAAGTAGGGTATTAAAAAAAATAAATCTTCATAATAAATTGAATTTGGAAATTGCTTCCTGATTTGAAGCTTTGATTTTATGTTTTTCCAGGTCGGTACAATCCGCTATATGGCCCCAGAAGTGCTTGAAGGAGCAGTGAACTTGAGGGACTGTGAATCGGCTTTGAAACAAGTAGATATGTATGCTCTAGGCCTTATCTACTGGGAGATATTCATGAGATGTACAGACCTCTTCCCAGGTAACTAAAAGAACTGGCAAAAACGTAAGTAGTAGAAAGTGGTACCAGCAACCAGAGCTACTCCCTAGCCATAGCTTTTTAAAGTGAAGAAGGGAAATAATTTTCTCAATTGTTTTTGCCATTAAGTCGGTGCCATCTAGCGTTCAAGGTGATTGTTGTCAATACAGTGTATTTGAGTGAAGCATGGCTCATGCTGAAAGACTTTAAATTACCTGTTTAAGCAGTTTGCAGGCCTCATGGTAAGTGCAATTTGAGCATTATTATTATTGTCCAGAGTTTAGAAACATTGAGAGTTGGGCGGATGGCAGAGGCAGTACTTTCAGTTCTTAGAACTGATAAAAGTGCCTGAAGTGTCTTCCAGACTTTCCTCATGAAAGAATAGATGGGAAGGTGCTGTGATTTAATGTAGCCTTTAGTCAGTCGTACTTATTATTTATGCTAGTGACATTGAAAATTTAGGGAAACCCTCCATACCTATAACATAAAGCAAGAGGAAGCAGACTTTTAAAATTTAACACGTGAGTTTGTGTCACAACCACCATCTTCTTCCCGAGATACAGTATATAGTTAATCTGACATGCAGCATTCTCTCTCTAGTCAAACAGCTGCGCTTTATGTGCAGAGACTTGTAATCTCGCTGGGCTTCCTCCCAGGTGAAGTACATGAAAATATTCAGTCAGCGACGTTTCGCAGAAATTAGGTGTCATCCTCAGGCTCTAAGACATTCTGAAGGTGCCACTCAACCAGCTAAGTTTGAAGATGCTATCCTTTGAGAGGTTGCTGAACAGCACTTAATTCATTTGCAGTTAATTCAGCTTTTTTTGTGAAGTTAGACTTTGGGGGAAAGTGGAGAACATCTCGATAGACAGCAACTTTGATACTACCTTTCATCACCTGAAAGCCTCTGCCTTTTAATCTGTGATATATTTTTCTTTCTTTCTTCTGCTAACAGGGGAATCTGTGCCAGAGTACCAGATGGCTTTCCAGACAGAAGTCGGAAACCATCCCACTTTTGAAGATATGCAAGTCTTGGTGTCTAGAGAGAAGCAAAGACCAAAATTCCCAGAAGCGTGGAAGGAGAACAGCCTGGTGAGATAGAATATTTTCAAAGAAACAATCATTTAACCAGCTATAGGGTGTACTCGCTTCTTAAAGGCAATTTTTGAATATGTTCTTTTTTTAAAAAAATTTTGTTAGTATTTAAGGATTGGGAGCTGCTTCTGTCTGGACTTCTTAAATATTGAATTCAGTTTTTAAAAAGCCATTGACATGAAAGCTCAATTTCTTTTAAGGAAAAATACTATGGTTATTATTGGATGCTGAAGTGTGATACACGGAAGATAACTTGTTATATTAATTGTGAGACGGTATCTGTAGTATTATGCATGAAGTACCCGTATGTTCTCTCTATGCGGGATGAGAAACATAAAGGCATTTTCTGCCTTTTGACATCTTATAAACAAATAACACCCTAAAATAGTTGGCAAAAATGTAAATATACTCTTCCAAAACTAAAATCTATAAACATTGTAATAAGGTTTTTCTGAAGTTGTATAGTCCTCAGAATTTGCAGAGGCTACAGCTTCTAGCAATCATTTCATTATAACTACATTAGAAATTTTATATAGCTTCATTTGATCTGCAATTTTTATTTTCAAGACTATAAACATAGTAATGTTGTTTGGTTTGAATTCGTATAGCTATGGCTTAGAGCCTTGCTTGCTGCTGCAGGCCAACAAGTTACGGCAAGTCAGCTGAACTCTGGTAAGAGTCTGTGTGCTTGCTTTCATCTGCAGCAAAGGTGAGGTAATGTGAATCCCCTTAGCTTAGTGGGGGTTGTTTGTCTTCTATTACAAGCAAAGTGAAATGCAGTTACTGGGTTTCACCTGATACATAGTAACTTGTTTAATCTAAAATAGCTTGGTTGCGAGTATGAAAATGACATATTTGACTCTTGTTGAGTTCTGGTTGTTCTCTTACTGAAATTATGCCCTTCAATCTTCAGAGACTTTGCTAGTTGATAAGTATGTAGCTACTGTGCAGATACTGGGGAGCCTAAGGCCTCATCTATGCTGATACTTGTAAATATGTAAAACCATTTCCAGAGAGGAGCATAGCCTCCAGTATTAACACTGTTGTAAAACATGTTGTAACTGAGTTGAGAGCTTCATAGAGAGGTTCTTTTATTACACAGTTTTGGCCAGCCAGTCTTGGGGCGGGGGGGTGTAGAAAAAAAAATCTACACTCAAACTATACAGGAAATCAAGCAGCAACTGTTTTAACTATAGCCATGTTGACAAACGCAGTGGTGGAAGAACCAAGCTTGACAGCTGTTTTTGGAGACAGTTGTAACTGGAACAGTTCAAGAAGGTTTGTTTTGGTTTGCAGACTACTGTTTTAAATGTTAATTATTTTCTAACAAGCTGATAGACTCCAGCATTGTTAGACACTGAGCTAGTAATGATCCCCATATTTAAACTGCCCAACACATTCTTTGTGTTGTCACTAATTCTTTTGCAAAAATTCAGAATAATAATAATGATGATGATAATAAGTCCAACTCTAAGGATGGGTCTACACCATTGCTTTAAGAGAAAATAATAATAAATTAACAATCTGTAGTTCTCTCATGGGTATCAAACAACCTACTCCACCCTATGCCAGTCTAGGATAACATCTGAATGAGCACGCTAGGGGAGATATTGTAGAAAACTAAGCTCCAGATAACCTCACCCTGGACCCGGGTCCTAACTTCCTCTATCTAATGCTTAGGAGAAACAACTTTTGTCTGTTATTTAAAGCTGTGCTGACATGTTGGGTTATAACACTTTCATGCAATTCATCTATTAGAGAAATGTATTTGCCCTTTTCATTTGAGAAGTACAAATAAAAAGCAATGTTTTATTTTTTAGGTCACAAAATAAAGGCACTCAAAAGATGTGGAATCCTAAATTTATGATTACCTATGCAGTCTCAGTCTGCTCCTTGAACATATGCGTTATGATACAGACCTTTATTAGCAGTATTGTTTTTCACACTATAAATCAACAATCTGAGCAGATGATGTGCATAAAATAATTCAAGGGCTATAAACTGAGTGGAGATGTTAGCAGCATTCTTGTCTCATTTGCCAAAGCCAAAGCAGGGCCCAAGCTTGACTTCAAAGATCAGGACTGAAGGATATTAATAGAATAATAGAATAATGCAGATTTCCTGTCCCTTCTATCTTTTTTCTGAGTGCTAGAACTTCTAAATAGTGCATTTTAGTATAGATCTCTTTGAACCTGAAATTAATAGAAAACACATTACTGTGGTAAACGTGAAGCTCTAGAACTTCAGTTTTGTTAACTATCTGTACAGTCATCGCTGTGCTCCTTTCATGGTCCTTAAAACATCAAAAGGAAAGGATCTGCTAGACGAGAGACAATATTAAATTAAACACTGGTTAAATTTACTGCTGATGAAACCTGTAGGGGAGAGTCTTACAAAGGGGCAAGACAGGAGATTAGGGTGTCCACTGACTTAGATACATCTAAATTGTGACTAAATCAAGTCCTGAAAGCCAAATGAAGGCTTTTTATTCTGGGAGAGAAAACGGATCCAGTACACTAGCCTGTCATTGTCTCTGAGGGTGCTTTTAGACTCGTGTCCCTCAGCTAAGAGGGGTGTAGTTGCTTAACCCCTCTTGGATCTGCTGTGGGAAGGGAGATAAAAGGTTTGCTTGTGTGGGAGCTCATCCCCACCTGTGCAGCCATAGCCGCATCACTAAGCAGCAGTGACTTGCCAGATGCAAGCGACGCCAGGAGCCCGCTCTGTGGGTAAGCAGCTCTTGGCTAGCATGCAGAGCTAGTCCTGGCTTTCACTGCCAGAAGCAAACAAGGCTGTTCTGTCACAGAGGTAGTCAGCAGGACCCACTGAATGCCTTAGTGCCCAGCTGGGACTATGCACAGTCATTGGTGCTGGAGAGGTTAAAGCTGGGCTGTAGATGTGAGATGTTCTGGCAAACCATATCCATGGCCCATACTGTGGATGCAGTGGAAGCACAAGTGTTCAGTGCTCATAATTTCAGTTGTCTCCTCTCCAGGTCTCTGACCATATGGCAGCACGTTTTGGAGGTCTTGAGATCTAATCCTGACTGTACCATTCACCCCACAGTGTGATCCCAGGAAAATGTGTCTGTTTCTGTTTCTCCATCTGTAAAACACGGGCAGCAATAATCTCCTCCCATAGTGCAGGCAAATCCACTGATATTTATGAGGCATTTGGATGTTACAGTAGTGAACAGAGGAGGAAAAGCATGATGAAATGAGGAAGGCTGTGTTATTTGCATACAGTGCAGGGAAGCAAGGCAGGGACCATTAGCTGAATTGTGAGGATAACAATGACAGCATTTCCAGAATATCATCAATCCTTAGTACACAGCTTTCATAAGGCAGGGAGAGTGAGCTGAGCATGCATACATCAGAGAGGGCTGGCTGAAGGTTGTATGGACAATGGTGAATGTAGCTTTTCCTAAATAATTGTCTTCCTAGTTGGTGTGTGTGTGAGGTATGATAGTATTAGTCCTGCATATTGCTGTTATTAGTGTAAACTAGCTTTGAATGAGATTGTGTATCTTCCATTTCTCTTTCTCACCAGCTTGTGACTATTTTCATGCATACAGAATGCTGTCATAAAACAGTAAATTAGAAGCACAATATAAAGGGAAAATAATTTAAGATAAAGAGGTTTTGTTTGTTTGTCTCCTGGCAGGCTGTGAGGTCACTTAAAGAAACAATTGAAGACTGTTGGGATCAAGATGCTGAAGCTCGACTAACAGCGCAATGTGCTGAGGAGAGGATGGCAGAACTCATGATGATTTGGGAGAGAAATAAATCAGTTAGTCCAACGGTCAACCCTATGTCAACTGCCATGCAAAATGAGCGGTAAGAAGAGAAAACATTTGGTTTTAGTCAGCAGTGAATGCCCAATGCAATGCTCAGCTCACTCCAGGAAGGAAGCTAGAGCATGCTGCTAGCTTAATGTTTCTGCACCTGTGAGGTGGGTGTGTGTTACATGAGCTAGTCTGCATATGGGTATTGTAGGACATGATCCTGATTGCTTGTGTTCTTAAGATCTCCTATGTGTCCCCGGAATTCAGGCACCTTTTATGTAAACAACTGTACTTCTCACAGAGGGGCCTCTTAAACCGACCTTAGGCAAACTGTCCAAACAGACTTGCAAAGATATGAAATGACTACAAATTGTCTTTAAGGACTCTTGCTAAATGATGCATAAAATTTCTGTTTAAAATGTTCTTCTAAAAACTGTGGATTTGCAGGCAATATCAGTTCAGGAAATCACCGAGTCTCAAACCTGTAGCTTTTCAGTTAAAGAACCACGGGGCCATCGTTTAAGTCATCGTTATTCTGACCCCAGTGAGAGAGGTGCTGCGCGTTCTCTGCTTATATATGATCCAGAGGGAGTGAGAATTTGCAGAACTGACATCAGTGCTTAACAGTGTGCACTAGAGATGTGAATTTGAGAGAAGAGTAATGTTGCTGTATGTGGCAGTGTTTATTGTCATGAAAAAAATTATGTTCAAATCATAGAATACCTAAACTGGTAAAATAATAGATCTTTCATGGTTTAGGACCTTGTGACGTTTTCCCAGCATCACTTTCTCCATCTTGTGTGTTGAGTTCTTGTTGCCCTCCTTCAGCATCACTTCTCTGCAACTAGAGCAGTACCTTAGCAGTGAACTGGACAAACAGTATATTGGACAAATAGAAGAAAATTACTGTTATCCGACTTAGTTGTATAAATAATATCCATGACAAAATCCTAGTGAAACCAATTTTCTGCTACCCAGGATTTTTCAAGGAAATTACTGAAAGATCTTAGTTTGTACTGTATCTGTCCTTAGTTTATGCATGAAAAGAAACAGAGAGACATTCAGCTCTCTTAAATGAGAGGCTTTATAATATGAGGTGATTTTTACATATATGATCTTAATATCACTTATTTTTTCTTAAAGGAATCTGTCACATCATAGGCGTGTATCAAAGATAAGGCCGTATCCAGATTACTCTTCCTCTTCCTACATTGAAGATTCAATCCACCACAGCGACAGCATAGTGAAGAACATTTCTTCTGAACATTCAATGTCCACTACACCATTGACTTCAGGGGAAAAGAATAGAAACTCCATTAACTATGAGCGGCAACAAGCGCAAGCTCGCATCCCTAGTCCTGAGACAAGTGTCACCAGTTTGTCCACCAATACTACCACCACCAATACAACTGGCCTCACTCCTAGCACTGGCATGACCACCATATCCGAAATGCCTTATTCGGATGAAACAAACTTACATACTACAAACGTCATGCAGCCAGGTGGGCCCACCCCTGTTTGTCTGCAGCTAACAGAGGAGGACTTAGAGACAAATAAATTGGATCCAAAAGAAGTGGATAAGAACCTGAAAGAAAGCTCTGATGAGAATCTGATGGAACATTCACTTAAGCAGTTTAGCGGGCCAGATCCACTCAGCAGCACTAGTTCCAGCTTGCTTTATCCGCTGATAAAACTTGCAGTAGAGGTGACAGGACAACAGGACTTCACACAAGCTGGCAATGGTCAAGCATGTTTGATTCCGGATGTCCAATCTGCTCAGGTCTATCCTCTACCCAAGCAACAGAACCTTCCGAAGAGGCCTACTAGCCTCCCCCTAAACACCAAAAATTCAACAAAGGAGCCACGGTTAAAATTTGGTGGCAAGCACAAATCAAACTTGAAGCAAGTGGAAACAGGCGTTGCCAAGATGAACACTATCAATGCTGCAGAACCTCATGTTGTGACAGTTACCATGAACGGAGTGGCTGGGAGAAGCCACAGCATAAACTCTCATGCTGGCACAATGCAATATGCCAATGGGACAGTGCCGTCTGGCCAGACAACCAGTTCGGTAGCGCAGAGGGCCCAGGAAATGCTTCAGAACCAGTTCAGTGGAGAGGATAGTCGGCTGAATATTAATTCAAGCCCTGATGAGCATGAACCCTTGTTGAGGCGGGAGCAGCAGGTTGGCCATGATGAAGGTGTTCTGGACCGCCTAGTAGACAGGAGAGAGCGACCACTGGATAATGGCCGAACAAATGCCAATAACAACAACAGTAATCCGTGTCCAGTGCAAGACACAGCTACAGTCAGTATCCAGAATGTAGCGAGAAATCCTGGACAGACCCAGACTAGAAGAGCACAGAGGCCTAATTCGCTGGATCTATCAGCCACAAATAGTTTGGATAGCAGTAGTATGCAGTGTAAGTGCCTGCAGGACTTGAACAGTTTCCCTGACACTTTTTTACTTAATAACTACGTATATCTGCTTGAATAGAAAATACATCTGTGTCTCCTGTCCCTCCTCAAAGCATACTTAGTAAATCCCATACAAATTTAATTTCTATCAGCACAATTTCGATCTTCTCGATAAAGTCCTGTCTCCATCAACTCCAGCACATGTTAGGTCACTGTCTTCCTTCCACATACATGGAATAAATCTGTCCTTTTATAACCTGTCTACTCTGACTCTAGGAAGGGAGTAATTTCTAACTTTCATTATTCCTTGCAAGGCACCTACCTTGGCAGCTGCAAAGCATATTGAAAAAGCTTCCTATTTCTTCCTTCAGGGGCACATTATACCTTCTTTTCCTTACTTTTCCTCATTCTCTTAAGAGTAGCTGGCTCTAAGATGCATTGATTAAAATAATTTGTTATAATAACTACTTATATGCTTCATTACTTTTAAAGCAACTGATTTTACTGTATTAGCCCAGCCTAGACGGATGGTCAGGCATTCTCTACTTTGCTATCTGAGCTCCAACAATTATAGCAGTCCTTTGTCAATTTACATGTACATATTAAAAATTAATCAAAGTAGTTAGAGAAGGAATCGATTTTAATAGACTCCTTCAGAATAACTGCCTTAAGAGTTTTACGGCCAAAGATTTAAGAGGTTACAATGGGGCTCACCTTTTTACAGTGAGAACATAATCATGTAGTTAAATTGGGTACATCCTCCGAGTTTGTCTTTGGGCCTGTTGGAGCTGTTGGAAAGGCTTCCTAGTGTGCATTTTTACAAGAATGTATTTCCAGAATGCACTGTAGTCTTTGAAAGGTGCTTGCAAACCTCTGACTATGTTTAGACAGACACTGTGATACTAGTGAAATAATCTGGGATGCCAGGCATGTTTGGAAAGAAAAGGTTTAGAAACAAACCAGAACAGATCTTTCAAGAAATGTAGTTGAATATTCAGCAGTGGAATGTTTAAGCCTTCCTTTTAAGTAGGAAACCTTAATTTTTGTCTTAACATGTTGACTTGAGTTGAAAACTTATTGAGGTAAAGAAAAAAGATTATTGCAGTAACTTTCTTTAATTGAAGGTTAAGTTAAAGGGTTTGAAGGTTATGTAAAGTGGAAGGTTTTTTTAACCATCAGATTTCTACTACTGAAATTTTGGCATGATTAAAGTTGGTTTTGCCAGTTTTGCAACCCAACATTCCAAATCCTGACTTAGGATCTTAACAGAGAATGGACCATTTTGTCTCCAGGTGAGAGACAAAACACGCAGTTGCTTTTGTGTGATAGATTTTGTTCTTTTGTTCTGTTTTGCGTGAGTAACAACCCTGGACTCCCCAGTCTAATCTTATCTTCCTCATAATACTATTTTCTACTCTGTTTTTGGTTTTGTTTTTTTTGTTTGTTTGTTTGGGTTTTTTTGGTTTTTTTTGTCTTCAGTAGGTGACTCTTCACAGGATGGCAAATCGGGCTCAGGAGAAAAGATCAAGAAACGTGTGAAAACTCCGTACTCACTTAAGCGGTGGCGTCCTTCAACGTGGGTCATCTCCACTGAGCCGCTGCACTGCGAGGTCAACAATAATGGCAGTGACCGGGCAGTCCACTCCAAATCCAGCACTGCTGTTTACCTTGCGGAAGGAGGTACTGCCACCACAATGGTATCTAAGGACGCAGGAGTGAACTGTCTGTGAAATACTTTAAGAGCCGACAAATGACCTTTTTTTTTGCATTATTTGAAACAAACACGCAGAAGACATTTTAAAAAACTGCTTTCTCCTCCTGTCAGCAACCCCTACCAAGGACTCGCTTTAAATAGATTTCAGCTATGCAGAAAATTTTTAGCTTATGCTTCCATATTTTTTAATTTTGTTTTATTTTTTGAACGTTTTTGCACTTTTATTTAGTATCGCTAAAGTTAAGTCTGTCTGTTTTGACCACAGAATATATATATGTGTATCAAAAATGTGGTCTCAAAATATTTTTTTAAAAAAAAAGTAACAAAAAAAAGTATTGCTGATAATCAGTTTGGACCAGTTTCTTAAGGTCACTAAGATCATAAGCAGACTATAAGACAGGTTTGACTGCAGTGGTGTCTTGTAACCATGTTTTGATTTCTGTGCACAAGCTAGTCTGTATATTTCTATGTTACAAAGTGTATTCTCGTTTGAACCCCCTATTTTTCTCGTGTCATGTTGAAATGTGCAATAGTCTATAGTTCACAGTATGCTTTATTGAGAAGTGTGTTTCCAAAACTGCCACATGTTCCCCTTTTTGTATTTGTTAATTTTTCCCTGACAGTTGAGCAGTCAGCCAGTCATGACAGTGAACTTTGCACACCATAGCCAGCTTGAAGCAGCTGCCTATATCACCTTGTGCTCTGAGGTGACAATGCATGAATTTTCCCCAACTTGAAAGGGCTTTTAAAAAGGAACAAAAAAAAAAAACCAAACTGAGCTCAGTACCTTTCCTTTGATCCTTCCAAATCAAAATGTGTTTCCTTTATAGTAGTAGATGCTATTCAGAACTGTGAAGTTCTGAATAACAAAACATTGAACAAATGTAAGGAGACAATGTCAGCCATTTTTTTCCGTTTTATTTTGTGTGCATTTTCACCCCCTGTATTTATGTAAAGCCTTATTTAGATCACTAATGATGTACATTGAAAAATACATTTTATTCAGAAATCTTAATAACTGTCATACTTAAAAGCTCTAGCGAAGATAGGTTGTGAACGTATTTTGTTTACACAGGAAAAATCATGAATCTTCTTTGGCACAAAACAGTTTTGTGACGAGTCACAAATCTTTCCTGATTTACCTCCTTACTGACAGTCTGGGGTAAAATCAGCCTGATTACTTATGCAGGTAGGTGCATCCTAACTGACTTGTTGCTGAGTTGAGTTGAAATTCATCCTCCCTTCAGAGTTTTTAGAGCCCCTCATTCATCGTGTTAAAATTTATTGCATGCTTATAAAATTCATGGTTATGAGTGTTTGCAGGGGAAGGTTGGGGTGTTTTTCCCTCTGCTTAGACCCTTCTTTCAGTTTGTGTGCGCATTGATTTTAGGTGTCAGTGAACACGAATGTAATATCTATTGAGATAAATTGTTTTTTCACCATCTCAAGTAAACCCTACCTTTTTTTTAGAATGATTGTTTTTACTGTCTACTGAAAGAAAATTAATTTCCTTATTGGTCAGGACCTCCTTCCGCCTGAGAAATATCCTTCCACTTTCTTTCTGATTGAAAACACTTCAGTAAATGCTATTTAGATAAAAAGGATATGACACATATCATTGGTACTGAGTAAAGTTTTATCACTTTATCTGAAAACTGGTGATGTTCAAAGAAAATCTATATAGTCAGCCTGCCAAATTCCTGTGGCAGGATACTGGCAGCAAACAATTGCCTCTCCCAGCCTGTCTCTTTTCAGCGGACTGAAACAGATGCTCTGTGCTTTCAAGCTCATTTGTTTCCTTGCTGTTATATTATTTTTTCCCCCTGAGGTGAACTTTGCCAACCCTGTTCTTCTATATCTGATGATATAGATGATACAACTAGCATGATATATGCCTTGCTATATCTGATTCTTGCTGTTTTCCAAACTCCCTTGTTTATGTTTGATTGCTATGATTTTTTTCTTGTAATGCTTCTTAATGTTTCTTAGATTCTCCTAGATATCTCCAAGCGGTAACTCTATAAATCCAGACTTTGATTGAGTGTAGTTGTAGAAATACAAGCCATGAGACACATTTTGGGCTCCCTGTGTTCTTTAAGCACCAGTTCAAGTAGTACCTTTCGTCTCTGAGGCGTAATTCTGTTATCCGCCTGTATAAATATGCAGTTATATCTCCCCTCTTCAAAAATACAGCCTTTCTCTGGTTTTACTTTTAATTCACTCTCCAGCTTCCCATCTGCTGCAATCTCACATCCCAGATGTTGAAAACCTGCCAGTTGCTCAGCTGGGTTTCAAGACCCGAATCAGAATTTTTATCATTCTGTTCATAACGCTGGCTGTGGTTTTTTTGTCTTTTGGCCTTCTTTGAGTCTCCATTTGAAGTACGGTATGTTGTTTTGTGATGATCGCTGTATCATGCATGTTGAAGATTCTTCACTCCTTTCCCAATGACTTTTTGCTTTGCTTTGCGTGTATCATCCATCAGCATTTCAGAACGTGGGCTGAAAAGCATATTTAGGACACTCCTACCTAACTTGAAACACTCTGGGGGAGAGAAAAGTTGTTTGCTCTGACTACTGCTTCTTTCTGCTAAGACAGATCTGCACCAGTCTTCTAGCCTTTCTTTTCAGGCCAGTCCTTTGTAAGAAATACAGCTTTTTTTATGCGCAATGCAATCCAAATCATTTTAATAGGAGATGAAAATGTTCTTCTGCAGTTTTCCTTAAACAGTCTTAAAGCAATCATAATAGTTTCTTTTCCTTTCTCTGTTCCTGTCACTTGCTGGAAGGCCTTTGGGGTGAATTATAATTAGTAGAAAGTATTGGCTTTGTAATCTACCATGGATAAATATAATTTGTAACGTGATAGAAATATGTACTTTATCACAAAATACCCTATAGATTAAATAGAGAAAAACTATTTATTTTTAAAGGTCAGTCAAAGCAAACTCTTAAGTAGGTACCAAAATATTGTAATTCTGCACAGCTAGATGAGATCAGATTAGCAGTTTGGTTTTAATGCTTAATTTAGTAATGCCCTTTTTTTGCTCACAACACATAATCCAATCTCCACAGAATACTTTCTCTGTAAATGAAATTATATTGAATTGTATCTCATACCGTGGGGAATCATCCTTAACCAAACAAAATACATGTAAGAGAGAGAATTCTACAGGTCAGACACATGGATAGTTGATAATGTACAGGGGAGACAAATGTGTTTTATTTCTTTATGGTTTGGGGTTTTTTTTTAAGAAAAAAGGATAATGATGAAAGTTGATAATTTTCTATCAGTTTCTCATGTATATTGCAGACAAGATAAATACAGCAAAATGAAAATAGAATGATAGTGTAAATACCTATGAATTGTGCCACTGTCAAACGGGCAACAGTAGAGTACTTGCTATGATAATTTATAATGTATAATTCAAGTAAAATGTTAGAGCAAACATTTGTGATGTTTGTATATATAAGCCAAAATCCAAAATCTTACTGGTTTTAGAAAATGACGTGCTAGTAGAAGCCAGAAGAGTTGCTTAGGTTAATGCATTGTCTCTTTTTCTGTTTCCTATAATAAGAGATGCTCACCAACATAACATGGTTTTTAAAATGTGAATTCGAACCATTTGAACAGACATGCCTCATAGTCAGATTTGTTTTCTTCTAAAATCGGTATTTACAAGTCAGATTATCTGCAACACTTCCCCTGAATTTGCTTATAATGCTCTATAGCTTCACGTGCTAAACAATCAGTATTAAAAATGCCTTTCTTGAAACTCCAAGATGCGCTTAAATTGCACAGCTAAAGGTAAAGGAATTCCTAATTTAAAAGAAAACCAATTGATATTGTCATCATTAGAATATTCTCAGAAACAAAGAACATTTCTGTTTGTGTTTTGCTTTCTTACTGTGTCTTGTTTCCATATAGAAAATTACCTAATTTTCAAAGGCAACAGAGTTTCTTTTTTTTCAGTGCAGTGGGGACAAAAAAAAAAAAGGCAAGATGGATGCTGGCAGGTTTCAGGAAACAAACAACAAAAAAACCTCACCTTTATAAATACGTTTAGGAAGTACGTATCTTCCCACCTGTCAACTTTCTCTAAAAGAAATCTTTAATCCTACCTGCCTCAGAAAGGAGAATAAGGAAGTTCTGTATTTTTATGGAATAGATTATTGGGCCAAATTTAATAATAATGAATTGTTACTTACAAAATACGTATGTATACATTGTATATGCCATAATTTCAGTGTTCAGTGCATTTTGCTCTAATGATACTCCTTTTTTAAATGTTAAAAAAGAAGTCCACTAATATAACATTACTAAGTCTATGTTCAGATTATAATTTTCTTTCATGAAAAATATTCAAAAGATCATAGCCATTCTGCCATTGAAACGTTATTATGGAAAGTTCCAGCCTAATTAGGGAGAATTTTAAAGTTCACATATTTAGTCAATACAGGAGAAATTAATTATGCTGTAATTTTTACTTGCATAAAAATAATGGCAGTTCCCAGTGCTGAAACGGGCTGTTTTTAAGTCATAAAAATAATAATTGCCGAGCACAGTAGCATATACGTGACTTGATGTCTCATTGGAAAATTTGGAGCAGCTTATCAAAGAAAATTGAAATAGGATTGATTAGTCTATGAAAGTTGGATTACAGACTGGACAACTTAGTATTTTGCCTAAATTTGGTTTATTTGAATTTTTCTGTCTGGTCTCCCACTATCCATCTTAACAGGTAAATATATTAACCTCCTTTTTTTAATGTGCTTACTTTTTGTTCAACTTTAAGCCTTTCTTCAGTGAAAAAGCTATACATATTGCAGTGAAGCCAAATATATATCTTTTATGTAAACTCTGTATGTATTTAGATGCATATGTATGTTGTGCATAAATTCCAGGATTAAGTTCTGAGAGTTACAGCATCAGACGGTAGCACTGGTAGCAAGTATAACGTTCTTTTTCATATGCCATTTTTAAGTCGTCTTTAGTGCATCACAGTAAAATTGGGATCAGAGTGTGACATACAGTCCAGTAGTGCGAGATCTCCTGTGACAGACTTGTCACTGTTTAGGTGGAATGGATTTATGAGAGAGAGAGAGAGAGAGAGAAAGCACATGACAAACTTTATCTGAAGCTTGAGTAATTTAAGGCACCTCTCTTAAAGATCAAAAAATAACCCAAAATACTTAATACATGATAATTTTTACAAGGCTTTTTATATAGTAGCTATAGTTACGTGTGTGGTTGCCATTTAAACATAGTATTTTAGTCCATTAGATCCAATTACATTTTAGGCTTCTATATTGTCATATAAAACTGTAGCTGTAGAAATACATCCCTTTTTTGATCCCACTTTCTCATTTCGAGGTTTCTTCTGTACTGACTAAAATTGGTAGCAGAACTTCCACTTCTGCAGATAACAGATTTAGGCACTCCTGTGAATCAAAACGGGAGTTATGTTTGGCACAAGTGTGTCTGAGGAAATCAACATCTAATCGGCTAGTGCTTGAGCCGAATGCTGTTGAAGTCAAAGAGGAGTCTGCCATTGATTATGAGCAAAGGAGGGTTGGGTTCTGCTGGCAGTGGTTTTAACAATTTCTTGGGAGGATTAGCCCTGGGAAAGCTAAAGTGGAATGTGGGACCACATGGGCGAACCCTGGCTACTGACGTCTTGAGGGGTGTTGGCTGATGCCTCGGTTCAGGCTGTCGGGCTAGGTCAGTGCCAGTGCAGCTGTGGTTATTGTCAAAAAGTGGAACTGCACCAGTGGGAGTGGAAGGTCTCAAGATAAATCCTCATTTACACCAAAGCCCTTTAATGTTGACGTGGGCTTCATGCAGGTCTGATTTAGTGGCTGCTGTGGTGCGTTACTAATATGAATTACTTCTTATGCCCATTTCTATTTATTTCACTGTGGTTTAATATACATACGTGCATAATAACCGGGAACTAGTTGGAGTTACGTTAATTTATAATGTAATTGTCAGATATTTTTAAAAGCCTGTTGATCAGCAGTTGTGTAAATTTGCAAGTCACTCGGTTAACTTCAATGCATGCGTCATGCTTCAACAGGCACAGTAACCGTCACAGTAAGGAAGGATTTCTTCAAAGTTCTTGCAGGCTTCTGCAGATATATTACAGGAGCACACATCCGTCAGGGGCATAGCATCTTGCCTGGTACCTACTTTAAAGCAGAAATAATTAGCCTTTATAACTTCCTAGTTTCAAGCTCTCCCAAAAGTCGATTTTTGTGGCCCATTCACTTGTTTTTAAGACAGAGCAAAAATGTGCAAGGTTTATTTCTAGAGCACTCGATTCACTTTTTTTGTGCTTCAGAACTGTATCATGAAGTATCACACTTCAATCTCGTTTATTCAAAAGGAAAGAAAATAGTTAATGTTTCTGTAGTTTGTAAAAAGTCACAAGAACAAAGAAACAGGCAAGTCCAAGTTACAGCTGAGTTTCATTTGTCACTTTTGAATTTCCTGATTTGTGACTCTTCTCTCTCTTTCACACTGTTGAAATGTATTTAAAAAGGTTTGTATGTAATGTTTCTTGTCTGCTCTTTGTCTCTAGAGGAACGTGTGCTCTATTCACATTTATATAAGCTGGAATCATATTTTACAATTGCTGTTGATTATTTTCCCCCCAAATGCAGTGTAAGAGGAAAATTAACACGGCAAAGACTGATTTCTAGGGTTTGGTCTTCTGTAGAAGCTGAAGTAAGGAGATGTGAAACTGCCGTTTTCCTTATGAAAGACTGTAAAGAAAGCATTACTTTCTGAGCGAGCTTTTCTGGGGAAGAGGGGGAGGAACCCTAGAATATGGAGTCTCATCAGAACCCTTTTGTTAACGGGTATTTTTGGTTTTTCTCTTAAATGACTGAGAAAATACCATGTATGAATTTATAAATAATTGCTTTCAGTTATTTCTTTTGTATAAGCTGCCCGATACCCTTGCTATGCTGTATAAGTTGTGTTTCATGGAACAGTGTGAGTATGAAATAAAAAGCTAATTTTTGTTTTTTAATCATCTGTGGATGCCACTATGAAAGCTGACATTGTTAAAGCCACTACAGAGTTTTCTATGAATACTTGTAAGAATTGCTTTGTTATATATAAACCTAAATAAAGAGATTGTATTGATACAGAGACATTGGATAAGAACATTTAAAAGGCTATTCTTTAGGTCTAAAAGAAAAGGCTTGCTGTAAAATGGTGCATTATTCCATTTATTAAAGATCATATTAATGACAAAAAGCATGGTCTTTTGTGGGTTTTTCCTGGTATTGGCCATGAGTAGTAAGATGTGCTCCCAGGAATGAGAGGAAAACCCCTGTTGCAGCTGTGTTTTGTTGGTTGAAGGATAAGGAACTACTTCATTACTGAGGGCTGAATGGGACTTTCAGACACCTTAGGCATGTGACAGATTGCACACTGCGCTCTTATCAGATAATGCTGTGAAATAATTTGGGCTTGCCGTTGCTACGTTAATGCAGTGCCTCTGCTTGCTTCTTTGCCCGTTCTCACCGGTCAGCCAGTTAAGATGCTTGTATTGGCAACTAAATACAGTTTTGTAGGCGTTTCAAAGCAGTAGGCCTTACACGGCCTCTTGCCACACCTTGCCTGTCTGCTAAGTGTTTAAATGCAGAAAAACAAAAGGAAAAAAAAAAAAAAAAACCAGAAAAGAAAACACGTGAAGGAAGCGTTAAACTAAATACTTGTCTCCTTCACTTTTGGTTGGGCTGCACTTGGGTAGAGCGCAGGACTGATGGCAGCCAGGCATGTGGGAGGAACACGGCAAGCAACAACCTTTGCATGTGGGACAGGAATTAAAATAGCAACCCCCTATCCTTCCCACACAAACTATTGCGCTCTTTCCCCTCCCCATGAGGAGACAATGTCGTGGCATTCTTACAAGCGGGAGCTTTCCCAGCCCAGAGCTGCTGGTCCTGTCCGACAGAACTAGAAGAGATGGATTAAGTCAGTAGAAGGACCCTGCAAATCACCCCCGCTGACTGGCCGGACCCGGGAGTTTGCCTGCTATGCCTCCTGAAGGTAAGGCGCTGGGAAGAGACAGGTCTTCCCTCCCCTGCCGTCTCCTTTGTTTTGCTTCCTGGTGTTTTTCAACGCCTGATGCAAGAACTTCATTTTGAAGTTGTCGTCTGGGATTTTTTACTTTGCAACGAAGAGCTCTTCCTCTAGTTTCCCTTCTTCCGGTCATGCTTGCGGGCAACTTCAAGCTGAGCCATTAACTGGAATCGCCACCGTACAAATGGTAGATACACTGTACCCGTACACAGGTGACGCTGTTCACTTGGTCTCATCTTTCTCGCCTCCTGTGTGACTATTGGTAAGCGTGAGGAAGTTAGTGCCGCATGGCCTGCTGCCGCTAAGGCAGGCAGCAGGATGCTGAGGCTTTAGGACGTGGATACTTGTCCATGTGGATAACAGAGGGAAATGAATGCAAAATGATCCCGATAACTGAGTATCACCCTCACTAAGTTACCTTCCCTTCCTGACCAGAAGGAAAATATTAAATCTTCCCTTTAAACATGA